AGTTTGCAGAGACCGAATTGGAGAAAGACAGGAAAGAATAATAACAAGATATCAAGAGAAAAGGTCATAGGACGGCCTCTAATTTATCAAGTGTTTCTGAAAAGTATGGTTAGCACAGTGCATGAGTCTTCAGCACTCTGTACCTCAAATGCAGACTAATAATGAAAGAAAGAACAGTATTTACATGTGTATTACATGCACCCAAAGGATGACCCTTCTGTGACTTTCTCTAGTGTAAAAGTTTGAGGGAATTTTCAGAGAGACTTTTTACAAGTAGAAATTATGTCCTGTCTCCTTCCCCCTTACCTGAAAAAAGGAAAGAATTAGACCCAAGATCTGATCCTCTATGTGGAGAAAGAGGTAAATAGGACTCTTCCCTGTTGCTCCTAACCCACTCTCTATGATAGAACCCTCCAGAATTTGTGCAAGAGTCCTGAAAAAGCATCACTGCCTCACAACTCGGGAGACACCTTTTCTTGGTAGATGGATAAGGTTTCTTTAGCCTCACAGAGATTCTCTGAGTTTTGAGCAGCTCCCCTCTTAATTTTGCTGAGTGTGACCTGCTCTGCTTTCTCACTGTCTTCGTTTTGAGTTGTCAATTTAAATAAACTTATTTTTTCTGTTGTGAGACAGAACCAGGAGCAAAAGAGCAAGGCAGGCCTAAAACTTGAGAGAGTATAAAAGAAAATTTATTAACTACACAAACAAAGAGAAAGGAAAAAAAAATTCAGAATAAGATTTTTCAGATCACTCCTTCCCTCCCTCTCCCAACTTTCATAACAACAAAACAAACATATAACAAATACTTCGGTCAGTCCCCAATTTAGTCTTTTTCAGTTGACTTCCAGAGAGAGAAGCCTCCTTTTGTTGAAAGCTGTAGGCATTTTTCCACAAGAAGGAAGAAAACAGTCCTCTCGTGGTTTCATTTTTCACGATTTGCATCTGCCCGGGAACCTGCAATCGTGACACTCCTCCCAACTCCACAACCTTCCCAGAGCTGTAGATGTGGGCCATGTCTGTCTCATGGGGTATTACTTTTAAGAATGAAATGTTTGACAGCAAAGGTTCTCTCTGTCTCCTTTCTCTCTGCTCAGGCTTCATCTTCAGAAAACTGAAATCCCCTTCTTTTCTCAGGGCAGAAATTCTCAACACAGGTGCTTTTTAGTCAAATCATCTATTAAATGGAACGTTTCCATCCCCCCATGTCTCTTTCCATGGTTTATAGGAATATTCAGTACATCAGTTCATCCCTACAATTTTACAAAAAGATTTTCAGCCATTTCAGCATCTTCTCATTCTCCTTCCATCTAAAAAACTTAGCTGACTTCAGAAATCTTCCCTTTCATATTCAAAGGAAAGGCTGGAGGCTTTGCAAATCTTATCTGAGCACTAAAGAGTTGAAGTTTAACACAACTACAAAAGTTGGGCCAGGCTCAGGCCGTGCTGATGGGGTGCAGCTGAGGTGTTAATCAGCCTTTCTGGGGCTGGGCTGCAGCCCCACACTGCTCATGGCCACCCGGGCAGGCCTGGCCTGTCTGACAGCAGCAAGAGTTGGCCTCCCCTCCCGTGCCAGAGCCGGAGGCCTGTGGAGGAGGAAGCTGTGAAGGTCTTATCACAGAACTTTTTCTCCCTCCGGCCATTGGGTCTCCTCGTTGGCAAACGGGGCCCAAGCGGCCTCCTGAGCCTCCCCCCCGCATGGGGGAGGGGGAAGCTCGGGTTGATGTTACCTGCTCAGCCGCCCGAAAGAAAAAAGAGACCCAGTTCCGGATCACCTCCTTCAAAATGTGTGTTCACAGAGCGAACTAACTTTCTCTAATTGGCTGTTGCAGGTGTCCCAACCCCCACAGAGGAAATTGTCTTAGAGATAACCTCTCTCTGAGTTTCTTCTTCCCAAGTCAACCTATCACACTCACGTGATGAAAGTCTGTATGCACAGCAGCATGGATTTCACCCATTTGGTTGGGTGTTTCCAAGAAGGTGGTCAAGGAGGCTTCCTGGTCTCATCATACATGACTATTCACATCTTTTCTGCAGTTGGTTGTGGTTTGGGTCATTGTGAGCATGTTTTATTCCCTTCCAGAATTCTAGGAAGAAGTTTGCTGTTCTTGCAGCCTTTTTGGTTTTTCTCTCGTGCATTGGGAATACACAATGCTCAGAGTGTATGAATCATTGTTCTGTTCCTGTAATGATACAGCTGCACTGAAACCACAGCATCAGCTGAACATAGATCAGATACTCAGTGCAAATCTTAGGTCCTGCAAAGTGATGGCTTTGATGCAAGTTTAGGGCAGAGACAAGCAAGTAGAGAGCATCCCTGAATCCAGGGAACCACTGAAATAGGAAAGGGAAGAAATTAACAGTTTCAATTGCCTCCTGCCTTGTAATGTTGCTGTTTTCCCCCTTCAGCTCTTAGTAGTAACCATCCATAATTCATGTTTTCCCTTTTCTAGTTCCATTAGTTTCCTTTCTCCCCATGAGAAATACTTCAATCACTCACATAATGTAATAGGATCCATGAATGCAAACATCAGGGTGGGAGTGTTTGTGTGGCCTGCACTACATTGCCAATTTGCTTGATGGATTTCAGCTTCTCTGCTCCTTCTATTTACTCCTGGTTCCCTTTCTAGATGTGGTGCCTTGATTTGCTTTTTTGTTATAGACCATGCTGCAGGCAAATCAGTAATGACTTGACATTGAAGAATGTCTGCTTTCATCCCAATGAGGAAGCTGCAAAAAAATAGCCCTAAATATATTCACCTAGTTATAGTTGTGTATATACATATATGAATGTTTTGAAAATTATATATAACATGCATATGATCTCTTTTATGTGTTATCTATAGTATAGATAGATTTAAATACATTTAATATGTAGGCAATGCAGCTCCCTCATTTTATCATCATTTCTTCTTACTGTAGATATATTTTTTCCTGAGAATCTTCCAATATATTTTGTTGTGTCATTAGCTGGTAGTTAGTCCCAAAGCAATATGGCATAGTATTCCCATCCAAGCCCATCAGCTTTCTTCAGATACTCTCTGGTGGCTTCCAGCAGCTATTAAGGTGTGGCAAGGGACACAGTTTTTCCTTCCATTTAAAGAATGATTGAGAAGATGTAGATGCTTTTATGGGAAAAGGAGAAACTGGGGTTTTTTTCCTCATCCAGCTTCATAGGGGTAGATGAAGGAAGTGTACAAGGTTAAAAGTCATTGAGCATGCTTTGCTTTTCTCCTTCTGCTTTTATTTTTATGGGGATGTGAGTGAACAGGGTCTTGGGCGGGAAAGACAACTTTTGTAAATGGTATATGCCAGCAAAAATGTCTTTTTACAGTGTATGCATTGATGAAAGTCTTAAATGTTGCTCCTTCACTGTAAAGACATCCCACTTAGGTGGCCCGTTGACCTAGTCAGTGTGGGCAGCCCCAAAAAAGGAGTGGCACAGATGCCTTTGCAGCTCCAGAGTGCTCAGACTTGCTCCCTCATCATCTCAACCTGTTAAATTTAGTCTGCCGTGCTATTGGTGGGAGCCTGCCATTCTTTCACCTACTCCTGTGCAAGGTAATCATCGTAGAGGCAGACAGAGTCATGAAGAGAAGCCTTGGGTCCCATTAGGCATTAGCAGCAATGTCCAGGAGCAGGTGCATATTTAAAACAAACAGCTGAACAGCAAAAAAACCCCACCCCCTCTGTACACACCACCCCACCACTTTCCCCCACATTTGTTTAAGCCACTCAAGATCTTTGGTATTTATGTTTATCACTTTTGGGCTGTTACCTTTCCCTGTTCTGCATGTATTTCTCTAAGCATCTGGCTATGTTTAAAACAATCAGGAAATAGTTAATCACAGCCCTTAACTTCAGGCTGTTGACAACTGGGGCAGCAGGGACCACCACAGCCCTCACAAGGAACACATACACGCCTGGGTAACTTCCCCATCCTTACTGTTACCCTGTCATCTGGCAAATGCTGAAGGAAAAACAGGGGCTGCAGTGTGAATGATGATGAGCGTGCCCTTTCTGCAGCAGAAGTGAAGACTAAGGTGAGGGATGGGGAGAGCAATTAGCTGATGAGAGTGCTCCCTCCCAGGTACCAGGTACCATTAGCACAGCTCAGCTGCATTTTTTTTTTCTTTTTTTAGTCCAACTTTCATGTTTCATGCCCATCTCTTAGAGCAGAATAGATTTATGAGTGAGGCCTGTTTGGGTAGGTTTTGTATGTACAATTTTGATGTACAAATTTGAAACCCCAAATGTTTTTGTTCTGTTCCTTTTGTTAAGTAACTCACACGTGTCTGTCAGTAAGCACTTCAGTTACATGCATTCATGCTCTACTCTTAGATATGTAAGTGTTCCACAAAACTTCACTGTCAGCTATAATACGTTTGTGGGATCTTATCTCAAGAGCAAAGAGGAAGAGTTTGTAGACTAAAAGGAAGAGATAAAGGAATTATTTAATGTTGCTCGAAATGGTTTGGGAATGAGTGCTTTTTGCATGGGGTATTTATAATGTTTGTGAGTCTAGCTGAAGCAAGATTTGGTACAGCTGTGTGCTGAAGAAGGCAACAGAAAAGCAAGAGAAGTCAAATAGTGTTTCTCAATGTTAACTTTAGGCTTATTCACTGGCTGATAGAAAGCATGAGGCTTTTGGAAAAACTCGGGCAAAGGTATAGAATTGAGTTTTTGTAGGACACTGTCATGAGGCCAAGTATTCGCTTAAACATTTCACTGAGTCTCTGCTGAACTCTTCCTCACTTTCTCCTCTTTCCCTTTTCCTCAAAATTACCAGGTTCTATATGGAATGGAAGGTTCAGCTCCGTGCTGTGCTCAGCTCAGCAGATGTAGGTCATTGTGCTCATTGATGCTCTGCTCTGGGGACCCTCTCTCTTGATAGTGGCAGCCAGGTGACCTGTGTCCATAATGGCTGCAGTTCTAGTTCTGTGCAGGGGTGGTCTGGAAACTGACTCTAATTCAAAAACCTTTTTTCAGCTAAATGTGTATATGTACAGCCTGGCGTGTTCACTAAATAACACCAAACCTCATGTCTCCTAGTACCGTAGTGGTTGGGCTTTAATGGAATACCTTTTTCATTTTCCTCATTATCCTATTGTTTTCTGAACCATCTCCACCCTCTTTATCTTAGTAGTAATACTCTCTGCAGACTAGAAATGCATTGTCTGTGGCTAGTTTATAATTCATTTGCTATAGGCTTTTTTATGATACCTTGAAGACACTGAAAGCTAGAAGTCCATTAAAGTAAAAGCACATTGGTGTTTAAGGATTAGGCTGTGAATACCTGCAGTGGAAAGCCAAATAAGGACAGGACTAGAACTATGTTTTGCCAGCTGCTGTTGCAGGATGGATGTATATAATTAGCCTATAAGGTGTTAGTGAATGTTCAAGAATTATGCAATATTCCTCTGAGGTTTTGAAAGGCTAATGAAACTTTTTGTGTTATCTCCTTTGGCAAACTTCTATGTTAGCTATTCATACCTTCTTGAATATGAGCTATTAGCTATACTGGCTTTTTATGGTGTGCAGGGTGGTGAGAGTAATTTAAACAATATTTATATTCATCATTTGATTCTTCTATTGCCATGCAAGTGTTTTTGTATCCCTGGTTAAAGGAAATTAGCCTCTGGAGTCCAAAGATAATATATTAAATGACTGGGTTTAAGACTGGGTAAGTGAAGTGAGCCTGTGGAGCTGCAATACAGGTGTAGAATCTTGCTTGAGTCACTCTCATAACCTTGTTGAATTGAATGAAATTCAATGTGCAGGATTTAGCCCGTAGAGGTAAACTTAGAAAAGATTAAGTAGGTGAAGAAATTTGGGATTGATTAGCAAAGATCATTACAAGAATAACAATTGAGGATTATCTTTCTACTGTAATTTTAAATGGTGGTGCACATTTTCCTCATCTCTCCTTCAAATTTCGTGAGCTGGGTTGTCTTAATTACTGCACCTCATGTATAATATTGTAAATCCCTGGAACTGGCTTTTTGGGACTCCTAGAAACCTGTTGACACTGAGGAACAAAGCAGACTACAACTGATAGTAATGTCTAGAATATTTTTCTGTGTCATTCAGAAGATCCTTTGGTGTTAATTTGGGATATTACAAAAGTAATGACTGATGCAGTTTCTCTGTAAGGCAAATTTAGATACACTTGTAATCTGGAAACCAAAAAATCTGCTTGTGATGGCTAATTCAAGGCAAAGAAAGTGACGTCTCTCTTGCTTTAGTTTCATCATGGGCATTTCTTGTATTTCTTTTGTTAAGAGAGAAGATAAAAAGAGAACTTCAGTTCTGCTGTTTCTTAGATTTCTGTAATGCTTGCAGTGGAGTGATTAATTATGTTTTTCACTCTGTTTCTTTCTTACAGTATCAAGCTTTTGGCTGTGCAGGAGCTGGCTGACAGAGAAGCACTGGAAAAGGTATTAAAAAATACATCTAATGCAACTATTGTAACACATTTAAGCTCTTAAAGCCCTCTGTGTTAGTTGTGCTTCCTAACTTCATGGAATACCATGCTGCATAAAATAGGACATCTTCCTAGCTACATAGTGCATGAAGGCAGAGGGTCAGTGTTTTGTCTAAGCCGACTATGTGCTTTTGGTGTTTTCTGATTTTACAGCAAGCTTGGAGTAAGCAATGCTTAATAATAAGCAGTAATAATAATAAGGAGTAACTAATAAAATCCAGTGTTGCTCTTCATCCAAGGGTACTGCAAGCACAGCAGGCTCAGGTCAGATTCCCAGAAATTCTTTACTGTAAGGGTGAGAAGGCACCTGAACAGGTTCGTTGCAGCTATGGATGCCTCATCTCTGGAAGTGTTCAAGGCCAGGTTAGATGGGGCACTGAGCCACCTGGTCTGGTGAAAGGTGTCCCTTCCCATGGCAGGGTGGTTGGAACCAGATGATTTTTCAAGGTCCCTTCCAACTCAAACTGTTCTGTGATGGCCTTCTTCTGGATGAAGAACCACATTTCTTTCTGCTTTATGATTCTTCTGGCCTGGCATGTAGGACTGGACTCCCATCACCCCTACTGGGACCAGTGGCTTCCCTTCACTTTCTACACTAACTTCTTCACCTGCAAGAGCAAGGAGCCAGCTGTGAGGAAGCATGAGAGACTTTTTGGATGCAAAGAAAACTGGATTCTGAGCCCTGTTGGAAAACCTGCTGTCTTAGAGCAAGCATTGAGCTGGTTCTGACTCAAGCAGCCCGTCCGTACATACAAGTGGTGTGGCAAGGCTTGGGGAGGAGGGAGAAACCCTTCTCCTGCCTTGAACACATCCTTGTCAGTGTGAAGGAGGAGGTCCTGCAGTGCTGTGTTCAGGCTGCATTTCCTGGGTACTCTAGAAATAATAAGTAAAATGAAATACAGCTGCAATGTGTGCTTCAGCCTTGTGCTTTGCCACTGACTGGAGATGCATTTCACCGAAGTCCTCCACCCCAGTTAATTCACATGGGACATCTCTTCACTGGTGTTCATGAACTCTAATTTTGACATGAAGAGGTAGATTTTGATAAAAGGCAGTGACAAAGGTCTGCGCAGGAGACATTGTAGTTTTTCACACATGAACAAGACATAGTTCTCAACCACTCATTGTGCAAAACAGGTTGGTATTAGCAAATTTTCATCATTTGCAGCAGTCAGATTCTCTGGACCCTCACACCCTGTACACTTCCCACCTTTCCAACGGACCCATACCTTCCTTTGGCCCGATGCCTCCAAAAACATGGCCTGGAAAGGTTAAGTGACCTCAGCCTGGTGGGAGTGGCAGTTTGAGGCATTGTCTGGAGTGCTGCAGGAAGCTCTTTGGAAAGGCTCAGCCTCAGAAAAAATGATCTTTCTAAATTGATCTCTCTGAATATTTGATATCTGCTTTCATAAAATGCCAAGCCTAAAGAATTTTGAAGGCTGGTTTAGCCCTATGGAAAAAAACAGACTTGAATTATGTAAGTTCAAAGAAATTTGTTGTCTTTGTTTTTTAAAGTACAGGAGGAGAAAGAAACCTACAGAATAGGTCAAAATCCCTTGTCCAGCTGCTTGCAGGGTCAGGTTTTGAGAACACCGTGCTGAGTTTTGTATTCTTAAGTCATTATATATCAGCATTATACTGCAGGAATACAGAATATGATTAAATTATAATAATTTAATATTTATTCTATAATGGGTTTTTCTGGTTCTCAAAGGGAAGTTTCCTTTAAAGCAGCTATGGACATGATAACTTAAAACTGCTATTCCTGTAGGACCCTTTCTAGTCTGTCATAGATGTTTTGGAACTTTGGAAACTTTCTTGTTTCTGAAATTAGCTGCCCAGCTTTGAAGGTGTTATATATTTTTGACATTTGCACAGAATCCCAGAGTGAGCAGAAGCCCCCTGCTGAACAGCAGTGCCCCCCAGACTTAGGTGCTGCAGATTAGCTCTATGAAATCAAACCGCATTGAAGTTAAGTGCATGTGCAGCTAGTCTCTTGAGAACCAGGGCCTCAAGACACTGTCATCAAATTATTCTGGCCTTGAATAACGCAGGCAGACTGTGAGGTGAGGCACATGAAGCCAGTGGACTGTTGGAGCAAGCTGGGAGAACTTGCTTGAACTGTTGGGGTCTTGCTTTCTGGAAAAGGATTTTGTGCCATTCTATCTTAGGTACTTAAGTATCTTTAAATTTAAATTCTCCCACCTTGGCTATTGAAAATGAACTGAACATACTGTGAGAAACTTTGTGTCATGCAAAGAGTCCATTTGTTTAACTTCCTAAACTCCAACATTTTAAAATGCCGAAGATTTACTGCACTTGGTGGCATTTATGCCTGGTGTTGCCAAAACAGGAGAGATGATTGGCAGGTTTTAATTACAGCCTGTCCTGGATTGGTACAAGCTTGACTGACCCTTGGATGCTGCTCATGAGCTGGTTTGTTTTTCTCGGTGCCACAGGCACCTGTAAGCACCACAGACAGGGTGCTGCTTGTGGAGCTGAGCCCCAACACCATGCTTGCTGTTGTTAGAAGGAATGGAAAAATAATAATTTATTTCAGTGAATCAGGTCACGTAAGAAGAACAAGAGTCTTTACATGGAGAAAATTCTCCAAGATGGGTTTGTTTGTGGCTTTTTTTTGCCGTAATTCATCAGATCCATTCCAGCACAGGCTCCACGTGAGTGGTTTTGCAGGCTGCTTAAAACCAAGTCTGTGTTTACCTGTATTTTGTCCTACCCTGAGCCTTCAAATTGATGTGTTTGGTTCCCCCTGCCCCCTTGCTGAGCTTGCTCTTCTGCTGTGGGATTGCGTTACTTACATGCCTTTCCTTCAGAAGTGCTGCTGGCATTTGCTGAGGGCAGGGAAGAACGCAGATGGCAAGATGCCATGGGAAGGCTTCCAGTCGTGCCAGCCTCGTCCCCACAAGGGTTCAAGGCTGCTCCAGCTTCAGAAAGAAGTATCACAGGCATGTGGACTTGATGGTGCCAAGTCCTATCTGGAACATCTCTTCTTTCAGAAGCACAGCTCTAGGAGACACTCCCAGCAGCACTCTTGCCTCAGTGTTTTTTTGAGTACTTTACTTTTTCTAATTTTGGCAAGTCCTTAATTGCAGAAGAAGAATTCTACTTGGCAAATGTTAATTGTATTTATTTGGGGAAGGGGAAAAAAATAATTCTCCCAAGGAACATGCTGCTTTTATAGTTTAAAAATAAATCTGTGGAAGTAATTAGGTTGAACTGCCTAGCCAGGTGATATTTCACATTGGTTACTGTTTTAGCATTTAAATTCTTAGTTCTTTTCCATAGGCAAGCATATACATCAAAGCAATTGTTCTCATTGGTGCTTGATACCAGTAAGTTGTGCAGGAAGAGTCATCCATCTTACAAGAAAACTAAGAATATTCTTTGCATTCTAAGCATTCCCTCCTGCATTTTTCAGGTGCTGAGGGACTCTTCTAATTTCTCCTTCAGAGGTGGATTATAGAGGAAAGTTTAATAATTTGTAAAATTTAATAACCCCGGACAGCTTTTTAAAAGGTTAGCCTGCTTTGTGGACAAGCAACAGTAACCCATTGTTTTCCTATTTGTATATTAAAACATAAATGCATCTGCTGTTTCTCAAGATGACAAAGGACTGTCCACTTGACTCCACAGACAGAAAAGTTTGTTGGCTTCTCATCTAGGAAATGTAAATCACATGATTCTGATCTGCAGTTTGTGAAGTGTGGAATTCATCTGCAAAGTGATGATTGTTGTGCCTGAAGTTAGAAGAGACCTACTTAGACTGCTATGACTGCTATACACTAGGTGGGCTGAAGGACAATAGGAATTGGGGTGAGAATTTTGGTTTTGTTTAGGGATGATGTTCTTGAAGTTGAATAACTTGCAGCTTTAAAATCAGTAACATGAGTTTCACTATTAAGGTCTGCCTATAACAATGATGGCAAGTGTATGTGAGCTATGTCCAAGAGGTCAGTGAAAAGAAGATGAACAAAACAATTATCAGTAGGCTTGCACTGTCTGTGTGGGGATTTTTGCCTTCACTGGAGAAGTTTTGGAGGTCACAAATCAAGAGGGATTGAAAATCTTTTACCTGGTATCTCTGAAGCACTGAATGCATTCACTGGACATGAGGACATGGCAGTTCTCAATACAAGAAGGGATTTCTTCTGTCTGCTGGCCTAATGTTACTTGGTCATCCGTTGGAAAGTTCTGCTGGATATGATAGAATAGAAAAACTCTGATTAGCCTTCTCCTCCAGGTAGATTCACCCCCCACCCCATCTATTTCTTATTATTTCTTGCTTCATATTTGCCTTGTTGCATTAAATGGAAAACTTAGCTCTGTAAGCAATCTCTACAATCTGTGCTCAATTTTTGACTTTTCCCACCTCCTTCAGCAGTACTAATGGTTGGAGTTGTCTTCCATGATGTGGAATCAGTTTCCTGGATTTCCTCACCCATAGAAAGACCAGATGTCTGCATCTGGGAAATATTTGCTGAATTCAGCCCCTTCCCATCACACAGAATTTTCACACTGTGCATGAGGAATCAGTGAAGCACAACTGGGGTGATACTGAGGAGGTGGCATTATTTTACTAGAAGAAATTTAACATGACTGCCATTGACCAGAAGTGGCTTTTGTGTGAGGGGAAATTCAGTGACTATTTTTGCACAGTTTTAGAGGGTAAGATGTAGGAGATGAGGCAAAAATGGGGGTGCTTGTTTCTTTTTAGTAGCATCGCTCTGCTGGTGCAATTTCAGCTGCAGTCAAAAAAGTTTGTAAAATGCTGAGCTGCCCTGTGTGTTCCCTGCTGTAGCCGCCTTCTTCTTACACAGTACATGGAGAATTTTAACTAAAAAATTGCTTTTGTTTTCTTGATCTAGTGTACTGTTTCCTCCAGATATTATCAGAACATAAAAAGTATGACGTCAATTGAGGTTCCAGAATTTC